TTAAAACACTTGCCATCCTTACCGACATCTTAGTTCACCGACAATTAATTTACCGACAAGTTCATTTCACCGACAATTAATTCACCGACAGCTCATTTCACAGACAAAGTAATTCTGGTCATAGTCGTTAAGGTCAGCTAGAATTAGAGTTAAGGTTAGTGTAATTTATAAAAAAAACTTTTCGGTAAAATGAACTTGTCGGTGAAACGAACTTGTCGGTGAATTAATTGTCGGTGAACTAAGATGTCGGTGAAGTGATTGTCGGTGAAATGATACGTATCCGTAACCATTGATGGGAGAGCTTAAGAAAATAATATAGGATGAAGGCCAATTTAACTCCAACGGTGTACGTGGAGATAATGATAAATTGAAATAAGCGAAGAGGGTCTTTTATAGCTGATAGAGAACTAGTTGAACATAAGATGCTATACTTCAATATCGATAGGGGATGATTAGGGGTGATGCAGCTAAAGGTGATGCTGTTAAGGGTGATAATAAAGTGGTGATCTTAAGTACTTTGATGATAATCAAGTGATACTTTAAGTTCACGTGATGGGTTAACAGAGTCTAATAACCAATCGTAAGTGTCGTTCTCTACTACAATTCTCGCAAGTCACTAATGTGAATGGCAATATCTGATTCCACAAACGTTCTAGAATCCGAGTCTTAATAAGCCAAATTGAAGTTACAAGTCAATTCGGTTCATCGAATTGAGTCTTGAAAGGGCTTATTAAAGTTACAAGTCGAATTCGGAGAATACTTCACAAGGGAAAATTCAGATAAGTAGATATATTTTGTTATTTATTGGTAATTAAGAGTGAATGAGAACTATCGTGCTTAATTGAATTCAATGTGCTTATATACATTTTGAAGTTTTAGAACGTTTACGCTATAATCTAAAGGTTTACGCTGAGATTTGAGCGTGTGCAAAGAAATCTCAACATATTCTACTAAAATTCACGTAAACGCGGTATGATTTCAGGGCGCAAGCATTAGTGTAATCGTGTTTACATGAAGATTTCAATGTTTACGTGTTGCATTTGATTTTCATGCATCTAAGCATTCAAGCCACTATTAATTACTATTTTTGGATTCTAATTACTAATTACGTACTATGAAGTTGTACGAAAATCATGGTTTACTAATATAACTAATATGTATATACAAATAGAAAGAAAAATAAAAGAGGAATAAAATAGAAATATAGAAAAATAAAAGAAAAATAATTTGTACACAACGAATATCCAATGATCTATCCGTTACAATATGTATATTCATGGAGATTACATTTTGTGTCATGATTAAGCTTCGTATTGTTCTTAAATAGTTTCCATTCCACAACGTCGTACAGCGATTTGCTTATTGAGCAAATATTTACTCAAAAGTCGGAGTTGATTAAAACCGAAAAGGACAGGGGATTTCCATAAATAACAATATATTTATAAAATGGCATACAAATATATATTCGATATAACTTAAAATGTCGAAGAATATAAACAAGAAATTATCATTGATATTTTATTATAAATTATTGACTTAGCATTTAACCAATTTCTTAGATCCTAAGCTCTAAGTGAAAAGAAAAAATGGGATTTTTTGACAACGATGTAAAAGAAATTTATGATGGAAATGATCTCCGAGAGCTAAATGAAATTTTTATGAAGGATGAAGGAATCGCCGAGAAATTAAGTAATTCTTTTGAAAATTGGATACGAATGAGTTTTCTGTAATAGTTAATTAAAACGTTATTTTTTTTTCTTAGGAAAACTCATACCAAAAGCTCATAAAAAGATTATCGAGGATTATAAAGATCCTGCAGGAGATGGAGAAGGTTCTCTCTCTTATTATATACTTAATTTAATCTACTATTATGATTGATAATATTGTGTGATATTCATTTCAACGTTCATTTATGTAGAAGTGGCGATTAATCGATCTGGAAACGTTAGATTCAAAACTGATATAGTAGATATTGATTCATTCCAACAATTAAAAGATATAATGGAAAGTTCTGTTAAGGAGAATAAAAACGTTAAAGCTGTTGGATCTTTTGCAGCTTTTAGGTACCATATTTTCTTTTACGTGGTTTGCACAAAAAAATAAAATTATATATTGATACAAATAACTTGCCTTTAAAATCTTTTAAAAATAGTAATGTAACAGAAACAAATGGATACCTTTTAAAACCATATAAAACTTCTAATATTTCCAAAACAGATTTGAAATTATTAAAAGAAGAAGCTATATCTCAAGCTAAAAAAGACGATATTATCTATTATGATGTGAAGTGGGGAACTAAAATTTATGAAATTCTTCCCGTCCTGAAAAAAGATAATAGAGCTTTTTTTAACGTTGGTGGATGGACTGGTAAATACAATGATAAAAAGTCTTAATAAAGTATTTTTATAAAGCTAGTTTTTAGTAACATAAATTTTCTATTTTAAGGACAGGATATCATTGGGTAAATATTAATCAAATTAATTTCTCGTTTACTATTAGCAATATTAAATGTGATCATTAATTCATCCAAACTTTTTCATATTTCATAGTGTAAATGCAACTTCTACGCACGGCAGTGGCATCACTCTACCACCCTTGTGTTCATTTATAGTTTCGGTATTAATGGTTGCTCCAGGTAATGAAACACATTCATGTTAATTATTATTATTATTATTTTGATTTTCTAACACTTTATTTTATTTAATTTTTTTTAAGGAGAGAAAGTTTATAAAGTAGAACCAACAAAAGGAATCACAGATGCTTCCAAATTTACTGAAAATTTTCCGAATATAACTTTAATCCAAGATGATGAAACGTTTAATGCTGCTGTAGTAAACATTGGCGCACTTGGTGTGACCTATGAAGTCACTGTTTCAACCGTTCCTTTGTATAACATTATAGAAAGAAGAGAACAAACTTCTTGGACAAATGCCAAATCTGTCTTAAAACAGAGACCCTATTCTATAAACCACTATTTGAAATCTCGAAATGTTGAAGTTTGGATAAGCCCGTATACAGATTATGCTCTTATTACTCTAAGAGATTTGGCGACTGACGAAGATGTGAAAAAGTATCCAAAGTCAGAGGCCAAGGCACTGTTTCAAGAATTTATTGAATTACCTGTAGTGCAAGAGGTATCAAAAATTTTGAGCATTAAAGCGGGTGGTGCTTTATTTTTGTTATTGAATCTGTTCTCAGCCTTTGTACCGATTATCAATGAAGAAGCTTTGAGATCTCAATACCACGAAGAACCCGTTGTTGATAGTTATGAATTAGTTTATAACTCATTGGGTCCTGGTAGGTTAAATGAAATTGGTTAAAAAAAAAAAATCCTATTTAAATTTATTTATTTACCTATTTTTTTAAAAAAAGGGTTCGTTAATGATTTCGAGGTAATTTCGGTAGAATTTTCATTTTCAACCAAGGATGATAATCATATATTAGCAACAGACGCGATTTTGAAAACACTCAAAGAAATAAGAGACGAGCACAATTTAAACATCCATGGACCAGCTTCTATGAGATTTTCTGCTGCTTCTTCACAATATCTTTCCATGGGAAATGGAAATGGTGATGAAACTAGAGCATATTTGGAAATGATTATCTTGGTTTATGTACGTATGCATTGTTAAAAATTCGAAAATATAACGATAATCTTAATTTGTTTTTTTTTTGAAAAAAAATAGGACGTTTGGATTGATCAATATAAACGTGTGTTTGATAGATTGACTGAAACCGCTTTAAAATATAATGCGAGATGCCATTGGGGGCAATATTTTTCTCCCAAACTTAATCACCAATATTTATTGAATGCATATGGAGAGCAAAACGTTCAATCATTTATTAAGCAGATTAAGAAATTTGATCCAAATGGTATAATGAGTAATCCTTTATTAAAAAAGTTAGGATTAACACCCGATGGAAAGGTCACTGATTTTGGGTTTTTTGAAACTGTGGGCGAAAAGTTTAAGGATGGGGTAGATGAGTTTTTCAAAGTTCTTACAAATATTGTAAATTAAGGTTTAGTTTAAGCGATATCGATATGGTAAGTTGGTTGATTAAATTTTGACTACATACATATTTATAACTATTTCTATATTATAAATATAAAAGATATTAATACAGATGATATCAATTTAAAAGTATTGCATGATGGTATACAGTTGTGGGGATGAAATATGATGGGTTGTTACTCTTGAACCTAAACTCCAAACTCATCAAACTTATTAGGTAAAACGAATGCCGCCAAACGAAAACCAAAAAGTCTAAATATCGATTACTATAAAATAAATATTATTATTCTATATTAATTTTCTGGTTTTCACTTGTTGACACCCAAATCAAGATGAATTATAACATTTTGCCAACCTTAGAACTGTGTAGTTCGTGAACTTTATAAATGTTGCACGTGTAATTAAAATATCAAAAATATAATCTAAACTTTGGTGGCGGCTTATGTTGAAATCGGCTTATGCTGAAATTTGGGATCTATTTAAACTGCTAAAATCCACATATACTCTTTTATTAATAACACTACCCCAAAACCCTAACCTAAATATGAAAAAAAAGATCACAAAAAAGGCACCAAAATTTTTGTAAGTTTATAATATAAGCCGATTTCAGCATAAGCTGCCACATATAATAACACGTCCGTTTAGTTTAAATTATTAAATATAAATAATAATAGTTTTCTCATAAACTTTAGCCTTTTTGATTGGACGAAATTTGGGTTGATTTTTACTGGGAATGCGATCCCATTCATTTGGTTACATTTCTTATTTAGAGATTGTACCCGTCAAGAAAATCCTACTCGGGTATACGGTTATCTGGGTAATTTATTATAACGATCTAATAAAAAATGTCTACCTGGGTACACACTATTTCTTATTCCCAAGTTTTAAATTATCTTTCTGTAATAACAAAAAAAAGTAAAATTTTAACTTTAGTTGCTATAATAAATTTTTGATCGCAAAAAATAATAATAAAAATAATAATAATGACGAGAGATTGAAACTAACCGTTTAATCGCGTTAACCGTTTAATTAAACCAACATAATTTGGCCCAGAACCTTAAGCGGTTAGAAAGTTTTAATTCTTATTTGACGAAAAATCATCAGTATTTAATGAAACCCCACAAAAAGAACAATAAAAAAATTTTCTGATAAATGAAGAGATCTGTTAATATGCGATAGTACAACATGCCACGGGTGGTACAAATTTAATAAACTATGTCTATCGTTATAGCGTAAAACCAAAATATTTTTTGATGATATTGATGATTTTTTGCAAATTTGCTCAATTACTTATGAAATTATGATTATATTATGTTCGGTAAACAAAGAAAAA